TCCATCCATCCATCTGTTCGTCCATCCCATCCATCCATCCATCCATCCATCGACCCATTCATCCACCCATTCACCCATTCATCTGTCCACCCTCACATCTGTTCATCCCCATCAGTTCAAACCTGTTGAAATCTAGCTAAGATTTTTTTTCCTTTTTCAGTTTTCGATTTTCAATTTGTTGAGCATCCCACAAGCCAGAACGTTACCATGGGAACCCAAGCAACACTTCATTGCAAGCCACCAAACAGCTACCCAGTCAATATTCAAATCAACTGGTTTAAGAATTACCAGCAAATCCAGGCAGAACCAGGCATCAGTATAACGAGCTCTGGGTCTCTAGTTTTTAGTGCCATCAAGAAATCAGACGAAGGAGAATATTTTTGTAATGGTGTTAATCCTGATCTACGGGAGTCACGTTCATCAAACATCGCTCTCATTACAGTATGGGGTGAGTATATCAATGAATATAGAGTTCGCGCGCTGTGATTGGTCGAGCGACCAGTGATTATGAGACTATAATCACTGCCCGAGTGGTGATTATGAGTTTTCCCAAAGTTGACCAATGCGGAAGTAAAACTAAAGCGTTTTTTAAATCCTTAATTTCCTTCTCTCTGATATTTCAATCTCAAATTATACTAAAATAATTATTCTCATAAGGCTCAGTGAATGTGGTGAATGTTTACTTCGCCTTCGGTGAATAATCGTTAAGTAAAGTGTATGAGTCTAGTCATCCAGTTAGATTTGGACGTTGCGTCGCCAAAGTTACGGTACGGAACTATTCTTAAAATAGTAGAAAGAAAGAAGGAAAGAAAGAAAGACAGAAAAGATGTAAAGAAAAAAAAGTAACGAAAAAAGAAAGAAAGAAAGAATGGGAAGGAGGGAGCCAGGATACGGAGAGAAAGAGAGGAAAAAGGAAAGAAAGAAAAGAGTTTTTCCCCCTTTTTTTGATTGTTTGTCCCAGTGGTGAGAACAAAAATTTTTTTCAAAAATAAAGATAAAAAGATGAATCAAATTTGATAATCTTTTTTTCATTAAAAGTAGGGTATTTTTTATGCGTTTTTTGCAGTCCCTCCAACATTTCTCGTCCGTCCACAAGATACCGCTGTCATTCAGTACCAGCCCCTCCATCTACTCTGCAAGTCCACAGGGTTCCCAGCACCATCTTTAACATGGCTCAAAGATAACAGTTCTCATAATACTGGTCACGTGAATATCCTAGCCAATGGTAGCTTGAGTATTATCCGCACGACCGTAAAGGATGCTGGAGAGTACTCTTGTGTGGCTAGTAATGTCGCCGGAAGTGCTGTTATGAAAGTCAACGTGGTGATCTATGGTAAGATTAACAAAAAGATCAGAATTTATGATTATTACAGTCACGGCACTGTCACTATGGCAATAGGGCGGTTTTCGTACGAGAGGGAAACGATACGATGAATTTGTAGCCGTATCCGTAACTACGCGGCTTTGTAAGTGGACGAATTACTGGGAGACAATAGAAAGCCATTTCAATGTTACGGCATGTCGTGCCGTGTACGTGCTGTAAGTCAGTACCGCACGTTTCACACTCATACGATAACCATTCTTATGGGGAGCAATTTCAATGTTACGGCATGTCGTACCGTGTACATGCTTTAAGTCAGTACCATAAGTTCCCCATTCATACGATAACCATTCTTATGGGAAGCCATTTCAATGTTACGGCATGTCGYACCGTGTACATGCTGTAAGTCAGTACCGTAAGTTCCCCACTCATACGATAACCATTATAATGGACACATTACTAACAACCGAACTGTTTCTTTTCAGTTCCCCCATCAGTTACAGCCTATCCTTCAGATGCCACTTGTGTCCTTGGACAGCCAATCACGTTCAAGTGTAATTTTACTGGCATACCCTCACCACGTGTAGATTGGTACCACGATAATGGCACGACAATCCGTCCCGTCCCCTCCACCCCTAAGTACAGCAGAGTCGGGTACACTTTGACTGTGACTTCAGTCAGTGTTGCGGATGAAGGGAGGTTTGTTTGTAAAGGGATCAATGTGGCTGGGGTTGTCAATGCTTCTGCTCACCTTAACGTTCAAGGTAAGAAAAAATGGCAATAAAGCTAGTCATTGCTTTGCATTGCAGACCTTGTGTCATTCTCCTGAGAAGTATTCCTTTATTTACCGTACTCATGGAATCTAGAGGTAGTTTGTATGAGTAAAAGTGGCCCAAATCTGATACCAGTATTTAACACTGACATTATCAAATCAGAGCCATTCAATAGACCTACTCGTGGTACAATGTTTTCCCATTTCAGACCACATATTATTCCCACGAGTATCGTTTCTTTGTTTAACGGTTACACATGAAAATACAAAAATGGATACAACTCAAACAAAGAATTTTATTCTCAAGAGAATTGCGCGTGGTCTGAAATGAGAAAGCATTGCAGCACGACGAATCAGGTGTATCAACGAAACATCTCCAGTAGACTCAACTGGTCTGCTCATATCCAGGCTTACAGCTGACGTCACACTTCCAGTCAAACGAAAAACCACGTGTCTCTGATTAGTTTGTTTTTTATTCCAGTTCCAGTCTCCCTTGACGCCGGCCCCGTGAATATCACCGTGAACCAGTCCTCCTCAGCCTCGTTCCAGTGCATAGCGTCAGGTGACCCCAAACCAAATATCACATGGTACAAAGAAGGAACCCTGGTACAGAGTAATGGACATTTCATTATTACAGGAGACACCCTCTCCATCCCCAATACGAATCCTAGTGATGCAGGTCAATATCAGTGTCACGTGACTAATGGGCTCGCTACGCATGTCGGGAAGGCTCACCTCGTTGTTCAAGGTTGGTATTTGTTTGTTGTTTACAAAGGAAAGACCGGTAAAACAAGTTGTTATATGAAATAGAAAATGAAAATTATTTTTTCAGTGTGTGTGACGTCATAACCGGCATTTTGGTTGACTTGAACAAAAGATTTAGTCTTGGTGTCGTTTGTCATGTCAACCAACATGGCGGCCACGTCTTTAGAGTCCTTCGCAGTTTCGGTCCCAGATCCTCACGGGTCCTCTCCACTAACGCCGTTGAGGATCTGGGACCGAAACTAATGACGGCTGCGGAGGAGAATACCACGTCTTTTGTCCTTTTATTTTCATGAGCAGGGATACATGCCACCAGAAAGGCATATAAAAAGCTTTATATTTTCATAGCGGTTTTCATAAGAGTCAAGTCACACTGCAAGCTGTTTTATACTGACTTTTATATACAGGAATTATAGAAAAACGTTTCCGTCATAAATGTCAAAACTTTAATGTAAAGCAATAGACATGACTAGCTTGTAACCAATAAGGACACATCGTTTCGTATTACATTTTTGCAGTGAGTCCAGCCATTACCTCTTTCAATGTTCCAATCTTCGCACGACTTGGTGGTAACACTTCAATGACCTGTCAATCATCCGGCATACCAAACCCACGAGTCACGTGGTACAGAGATGATAGCGTCATCTTACCTGGGTCACGTGTCTTCCTGTCAGTTGATGGCTCGCTGAGGATTGTGGGAATGGATGCTTCTGATGGCGGGATTTATACCTGTGTGGCGAGTAATGCTGCAGGAAGGACGTCAAGGAAGGGGAACCTAACTGTTCAAGGTAAAATATTTGAATTTGTTTGTTAAAATAACCTTAGTTATTGGGAAATCGAGGATGGTGTAACGATTGATAGTCCACTCTCCTCTCACCTCTGGGGTCTCAGACATTGCTGGAGAGTTTGTTAGGTCTCTCTCTTGATTCGAGGGTTTTTCCCCGGGTTGCCCGGTTTTTCTCTCTCTGCTAAACTTATAACACCAAATTTTACCAATTCGTTCTTGCGAGTTAGCCGTGACTTTGTTTCAGGGGTAATCGCCCCATTTAAGGGAATCCGGACTTATGGTGGATTCCGGATTCCGAGACTCTGGATTACGGATTCCAAGGGTCTGGATTCCGGATTCCAAAACTTTTGTATTGCGGATTCCGGATTCCATATCGTTAATTTGCATCCGATGACAGATATTCTTGGTGGAGATATTACACAGTGCGGGAGGGGCTACATCGGTTCAGTCTAGGTCGATGCGATAGCATTTGAGTGTATACTTTGAATTTCAAAGTAGCGGATTCCGGATTCCAGAGTGCTGGATTCCGGATTCCAAAGCCTAAAATTTCGTGGATTCCGGATTCCCTTACATGGGGCGAGGGGTAAAACTAGAAAGTTTTCTTTTCGTAATGCTTTAACACGTGTCATTCCTTTGAGATTAGGTACATCCATATTTATTTGTTTACTCAAGACCTAACAGAGAACAAAGAAATAATTCTCAAGGGAATGACAGGTGCTCTAAAAAGGGAAAATAGTGGATTAGGTCTTGGGCTTGCATGTGGTAGGGAGAATATTATGCATGTATGTATCATTTATTATTGTCGATCGTTTTGCTTCTTATCAAAATTACCAATTGATATGAATTTTTTATTTTATTCTCGTCAAAATCAGTCCCTCCAAGTCCTCCTGTTAGTCTAACTGCCATACCCTTGTCTTCCACGTCAATCAATTTGTCATGGCAACCAGGGTTTAACGGCCACACGGCCATCACTGGGTACAAGGTAGACCTGAAGAAAGAAGGCCAGTCTTCATTCAGTGAATTAGAAGCAAGTATTGATCGACTGGAGTTGGTTACTAGTTCTCTAGTGCCTTATACTAGGTACACGTTCAGGGTGTTGGCACGAAATGTCATTGGTTTAGGCCAAGCAGCAGAAGTATCTAACAGAACCCTGGAAGATGGTAAATAAATAAAAAAATGAGTTGTAAAAATGATGGATAAATTGACGAACGAAATGACATGCTAGCTTTTAAACAAGGCAACTTGTCTCTGTATGCGGGGTCAAAAAGAAATAAAAACTTGACAAAAAATCGCAGGCGCTCAGCGGTTGTTTGGTCTAGATGTTCAGCGGTCGCTACAAAAACTTTACCAAAACTTGTCAAAGAAAATAACTTTATCACACACATGGGCAAATAAAACTTTTCGAGTACACTTGTCATTGCTCTTAAACGACTCAGTTTGATAATAGATACAATCTTGATTTATTTTATAGCTCCTTCAGTACCAAACGATGTTTTACTAACAACACTAAACGCGACCGCGGTACAAGTTAGGTGGTCAGCGCCTTCTCGCCCTAATGGTGTGATCACGTGGTATGAAATTGAGCACCAGTCCCTACCAAGTGGCTCGGCCTTAAAACAGGAGGTTGATGGTTCAAGTCTCTCATTAGTTCTGTCTGGTTTGCGGCCATTTACAGAGTATTCTGTAAGAGTAAGGTCAGCCACTGGCGCAGTGTCGAGGAAATGGGGGAATTATTCAACATCTGTCGTTAAGAAGACCGCTGAAACAGGTTTGTTTCTATTACTCCCAGGCTTGAAAACTGTGTTTTAACTTGGGTCACTTATTCATTGACTGTATGAATGAATAAATGATTGAATGATTGTTTGAATAAATTGAAAGTGAATGAATGGACGGAATAATGAGTGGTGACTAAATGAATGACATGAATTGAGTGAATTTGTTTGTTTTCCTAGCACCTGATCAACCGCCACGTGACATACGATGTAATTCTCTAAACTCCACTGCAGTGTCTGTCAGCTGGAAGGTAAGAAAGATGCACTGACATGTATGGAGAGAGAAATTAAGATATAGTATAATATACTAGAAAGCGCTGAAATTCAGTCCACACATAGGCAAGAGAAACATCAAGACATTATAAAAGTTGATTTTCATATTAAAGATATTTTGAAAAATTCTAATATTAATAGAAATCCCCCCATAGCCGCCAGAAAAAAAGCTTTTGCTACCTGTGCTGTACTCCACTTATGTCACCGCAGAGGTCGTAATTCAATGAAATTGAAGGTCTTCAGGGCCGTAACCAGAACTTTTACAGGGAGGGTGCACATCGAATAAAATCGGACCATTGATCGTTTCTTTTAAGAAAGCAGAACCAAAAAAAAAAGACAAAAAAAAGTAAGATAACCGAAAGAAAGCAGAACCAAAAAAAAAAGACAAAAAAAAGTAAGATAACCGAAAGAAAGCAGAACCAAAAAAAAAAAAAAAAAAAAGCTGATGGATGAGCGGACCTTAAGCTTTTATGGGGGGAGGTGTACGTGCACCCTGTGATCCCCCCCTAGTTACGGCCCTGGTCTTACTTCTTGTTTAAAACTTCCTCTTAAGAAATTGTTTTTTTTCTTTTCAGTCTGTTCCTTTTGGCTCAGCAAATGGTATCGTCAAAGAGTATCGTATCTCTTACCAGGCCACCGGACCGTACAGGTACTCTAGTATCACCATAGTAACAGTAGATGGAGGGATTAACAATACTTCACTAGGAGGCTTGTTCCCATGGACGAATTATAATATCTCGGTCCAGGCCGTCACGGTCAGTGTTGGACCAGGTAGTGAGTGGAAGACCGTGCGTACTGGTGAAGCAGGTAAGATGCTTTATAAGGAAAATGATTTGTATTTCAACATCTAATGCAACATTCAGAGGCAGTTATTTTGTTGTTTTTTATTCTATTTTTAAAAAACGTTTTTATTTTATATAGTCATACTTTTACTACGACAGTCTATTTCGAGTCGGGAATCAAAAAGAATATCCCTCGTTGCAAAGGCGCGTAAAAAGGGCGGGAAATTGACGCACGAGTTATTAAAATACATCTGGAAACATCTAAGAATTAGTCGACGCTGCAAGATCAGAACCATTTTTTCCCTCCCTAATCTCCCATAATCCCAGAATCTCCCATAACAATTTTTTGGAAATCTATTTTGAAAACGAAAGCATTAAAAAGAGTCATCGGTTTGTTTTCTTCGGACGAAATCAGGGTCGGCCAGTACTAATAATAATAATAAATATGTTCTTATATAGCGCATTAAAAATTCTCAATGCGCTTTACAAATATAACGATGAACTGTTAAGTGATAAAGTAGATTAAAGTTACGAATTGAACAAGTATTCGTTGCTTGCTCGTGATTTTTTCAAACATAACCTTTCAACCGAAGTCCAATGTACAAAAGTGACGTTTTATACTTATTTCATCAAACCAAATCCAATTCAGCTCCATCCGGCGCACCAGCCATCAACGTGACATTCTCAAACGAGACGACCATCTACCTCCACTTGATAACACCCCTTCCACACATGCGCAATGGTCTTATAACTGGCTACGTGATTTATTACAAAAAATCCGCCTCCTCTGGACCGTTCTTTGAAGTGTCTACGTCATCTGCCACGGTATTGGTCAGTAACTTGACTGTATTCACGGTTTATCACGTAAAGGCTGCGGCAGCTACGAAGGCTGGTACAGGAATCCCAAGCGATGTTATTACTGTTAAAACTGATGAAGGAGGTATGTATGACAATCATTTATATAAATTAATCGTATACGGAATTCATTGAGTAATAATTAATGGAGCCTTCTCAAAAAGGACTTGTATGCAAGGCTAACGAGAAAATACGAAAGAAATCACAGTTTTTATTAAAAAGAGAGATAAGAACTAATATGTATAGATATTTTTTACATCATACTTTTTCTCGATGGAAACTGTGGCATTTCTTTTGTATTGCCGTAATAGAGGCTTTGCACCATCACGTGATGGCAGCCATGACAGGAGGCAGGAACAATTGAATCTGGTCTAATCTAATTTACATGAGAAAGAAATCCGTTTCGCAAGGGAGAACGACTCTATTGTTATGCCTCCTGTCATGGCTGCCATCACGTGATGGTGCAAAGCCTCTATAGCCTCGCATTCAAGACAATTTTGAGAATGGTCCATTAGTTTTGACGTAGTGTTTAAATTAATAGTGTTTTATTTAGTAAAGTTGATCATTTTCTGTTTTTTTTCTTCTCTAGTTCCAAACTCTGTGGAAGATATCACTATACTTCAAGCTACTCATGACGCAATAAAAGTCACGTGGGAGCCGCCTAAACCGGAAACAGGAAACATTCTTTTTTACACTGTGTATTTGAACACAACGAGTACCCTGAGCACTAGGACAACAAGCAAACCACCAATCACATTGGAGAATCTGTCTCATAATACTACATACTATATATGGGTAATAGCGAGAACAAAGAAGGGTGATGGACCAATAGGAAAGATATTAAGAGTCCAAACACGTGAGTATGTCAGAGGCCAAGGTCACGCCCTATGAATGAACCAATCACAGAACGAGAAATCAACGCTTGTCCAATCATAATTACCACTGGTTTTAGTCAGATTAAAATCAAATCATTTTCATTTGTTCGCAGGAAATCTTCCCCCACATACCACAGGAAGCCCAACCAATTCGTCGCTGGCCAATAAAACTGAGCCCACGGGAGTAAAGTCATCTGAGCAGCGGGGCGACTCTTTTTTATCCTTGAGTCAAAGGGACTTCATCATCGTTGTAGCCTGCGCAAGTGTAGTGTTGCTCATATTAATTATCGTTATCCTTGGTTTGGTTTGCGTTCGTTCAAGGGATAAACACGGTAAGGGCAATGTTTTCTTTGAGTAGAGTTTGTTAGGCTACTCCTTTGATTTGAGGGTTTTTCTCCAGGATATGTGAATTTTCCTTTCACCGCAAAACCTATATATGACGCTAAATTGCAATTCGATCTGCGAGCTGTGCATTGACTTCTTTTTAGAATTTTAAGTCTTCAAGGTTTTTGAGAAATGAAGTTTAAGCTAGAGCTGTTTTATGTCTGTGTGACGCTTGGCTTTCGTGCATCAGGTATCTGTGAAAAAGACACAAAACTTTGAAATTATGTTTATGAAGGAATACTTTGAAGTTTCTTTTAGTTCGGGATCTCCTTTAACTCTGTGGTTTCCAAAGGAATTCTTACGTACTTTCCCAAAAAAAATTTCGTTTATATTTGCGCCTGCGATATTCTGATTAATGCGGAAAATTAAAATAACTCATGCGTCTTACTTATTACAAGTTCTCTGTGTCGTGCATGTAATCGTGAAATGTCTATTTTCGTTCGACGGGTAGTCATGTCACTAAATCCTTCATTAATATTTTCTATCATTTTTCTTTCATATTCTCAGGGTTTACTGACTCGGCAAAAACACGTAAAGTAGGTCGAGGTATCGATGTACACGAGTTACGAGGGTAAGTTTTTTAGGCTCCCGAGGCCTCCTTTCATCATTTGTGTACCTTTTTGATATCTTTATTCGTATGTTTGAGATTTTCAAACTAAGAAGTGTTCGTTGTTATCTAACGTCAACCAAATCCCTTCTATATACTTTAATGCTGCGATAGTCACGGCTGTGGTTCTGTGGTCACATGCGAAACAAGTAAGCGACGAATTACGATGCCCATCGCTGTTGTTGTTACTGCCCTAGTTAGCGTTTAATGATGTTGTTTGTACTTTCGCTGTTATTATTGTTGTCGTCGTCGTTTTTGGTGTTGTTGTTGTTGTTGTTGCGGCGGAGCTGCTTAGTGGACCGCTGTTGTTGCTGCTGCAGTTATACTCTTGCTGTTTAGTTTATAGTTAAGCTGTAATGTGCTTACTGTCGTTGGTTGTTGTTGTTTGTGGTTGTTTGGTGGTTGTTTGTTTTTGTTGTTGTCATAGAGTGATCGTAGTATAGCCTCCTCCTCAGGCGTCCCTTTGCTCTTTTCTCTCTTTTCCTATACTGGGCTTCCTGTGTTGGCTGAGAGTTGACCACTCGCCTTAGGCTCTGGCTAAACGAGGAAACAAGTTTCCAGAAACACCGCGCGCATGTTCCCCGATGATTCCAAGTTTAGACACGTGCGAAACATTGCTACGTGCAACAAATTTTGCTTCCAAGACGCAAAAATGTTTCTGCTGTGCGGCAGAAACATTTCATGCTTCCAAGACGCATGGAAACAATGTTTCCTAAGGTTTCCTCGTTTAGCCACGAAAGTCAACATTCTAAAAGATCGTTACTTAGCAACGCTAGCTCTATTTTGAAAGTGCGCATGCGCTAACCGATATTGAGTAAACATGTTTCCCGATGTTCCCTGACAGCTTTGTCACCTTTGGAAACATTTAAGGAAACATGTTTCCTCGTTTAGCCAGGGCCTAAGTCTTCATCGTTTTCACCACAGGATACCCATCCCTCTCGAACAGCAACAAAATTCATGTCACAAATTAACAAACTCATTCATAACCTGCCATAAAATATATATATTTCCTATATTATTTAACCAAGGGACAGCCAGGTGCGAGCCACTAGTTATAACACACTGGTTGGCTCACCCAAGACACAACAGTTTGATTAAAAATAATGAAGGTAAACTAACATAAACCGATAAAAAATATCAAATAATATTAAATATCTATAAAACTATAATTCAATATAACTATAATAATAATAATGGTAACTGTAATACGAGTAATTGTATAATGTTTATTGTAATTAATTCATAAATGTGAATTCGTTTCCTCTGGCACGTTGGTTTTTGGAATACGTATTCAAAAATAACGCTAGACACAAATTACACAAATTATAATAAAATAAAAAAATAAAAATACAACTAAGATTAATACTCTTTTATAAGGTTGTCGTCGTGCCCTTAATAGCTAGCCAGGCCAACTGTTGCATCAGAGTGGAGTCTAAGCCCAAATCCATAATTTAATAAAAGCTAATGAATACTAATAATGAGCCTGCGTTTCAGTAAAAAGCGGTATTTTTCTGACTCCCTCCATACGAAGATCCTTCATATTTTTATTTACGCTGGGGTGAAAAGGAAACGTATAATTTTGATATTATGAAATTGGTAGTGACCTTGCTGGAAGACCTGGACGGATTTTTCAATATCGTGGTGGAATTTATTGTTGAATTTTTTTACCTGAGCTTGAAAATCTTATTCACTATTTGATAGGGTTTCACCAGACAGGAGACCAGTCCTCGACGTCCAAGAAGAGACGAGCTCTTTTAATGACTTCTCTGACTGGAACAGCTCGTTCACTGGGGTCAATTCTGAACAAATCGAAGATCCAGTCCCTGTCAAGAATTCTCCTATCCTAGAGTTTCCGGTAGAGACTGAAACCAAGCCAGTAGATGAACCAGTCACCAGTTCTCCTCCTCCTCAGCAAGCAGAACCTGATTCTTTGGCAAACCCTGTAATTCCCTATTACGAAAAATTCAGGAATTCTCCTGTATCTAGGATTCGGAACAAGAAGCCTTCGTTAGGTTCAAACGCCAGTTCTTATGATCAACCTTACTCAAGTGTCGATGAGCTGGGAACTGGGTTTTCAAGTTTCACACCCCCTCCCCCACCGGACTTCAGAAACGATGAACCTCACCGTGATGACAGTCCTCCCCCAGCGGACCCCCCTCGGGAATTCTCAAATGACTTATATACCACTGTACACGATCAGCCAGAACAGCAACCTACTACTAGCGCTGATTTTTTTGAACCAGGCTATGCAGAACCGGAAGTTAGAGTCCGTAACAAACCGGATACGGAAGTCAAAGGCAATGAAAAATCGCAACCGGAAGACGACGGTTATGCAGAGCCGGAAGGGGTTTCTCTGCCACCATCATATTTTCCATCAGACTACGTTGGTGTTGAGAACGATGGATATGATACCGACGAAGAGCTTGATAAATATCTGGGTGAACAAGAAGAAAAGACAAAGAAGCACGACCAAAAGACCACAAATACACCTCATTCGCCTTCGGTGAGCCCGCTATCTCATGGCTCAGCGGAAGCTGACAAACCGGAAGTCATGTATGCCAAACCTGATTTGTCAAAGAAGAAAAATAGAAAAAGCCCTGGAAACGAGTCCAGAGATTACGACGCTGTTGTAGTATATGATGAAAGAACCAATCTTTAGACAGTGAAGCAATCTGTAAATAATACATAGTAAAATGTGTTTTTAATGCCCTTTTAATGCTATTTTTACTTTTATGCATCTATTCTAGCATGAGATATTATATTTTATATATTTTTGATAATAAAAACGTTTAAAAATGCTCGAGGCATTGTTGATGTTATGTGATTATCAAATCAATTGCGTTGTCTTTTTATTTATTGTGTTAGTAACAGCACTGCTGAAAAATAGCATACTCTCTTTGATAGCACATGACAGGCAGTGTTTGCATGTCATTGTAGACTGGTAATGAGATTCATGGGATATCAAGCAATAGAATACCCTCTGGTTAATAGCACTTGACGGGCAGTTCATTTAGGTCTGCCTTGAAAAAAATCGTGTTGCATTCTTTCTATTTTTCAAATTTAATACCCGGCCGACAAAAATACATAACCTCAGATCTTTCTAATCAGTTATTTCTATTTCTATTGCAGTATTCTTTATACCTTTTAAAAACTGACTGGTTGAAACCAAAAAAATATGGTTATAACCCAATAAAACGTCATGACAACCAATTTTTTAGAGCCGAAGTAAATTACTATCTAGCTCAGCTGCCACCAAATGCAGTATCATTATATTATTATGTCGCTACAACGTCTAATTTCAATTTATTTTATTAACTAATATTTACACCACTATGTTGTAATTTAGCTTTCCTGGTTATTTCATTAAAGCTATGAGATTATTGGAAATTAGCTCTGGAAAATAACTGATGTATAATAAGTGCACGTTTCGTTCGTTCCATTTTCGTTTGAATTTTTAAGAAGTAAAATTGAAAAACGAGACCCTCTTCCTAAATTCACGAGATCAGATTTCATTTACAAATTTACAGTGCAAGATTTTACTGTTTTACACTTCTTTTTTCGTCGGTTTTTGTATATAGTACATGAAACTTGCCAATAAAAAAACCCGGAGAAACAGCAAACTTTTGTACCATGAATTTTTGTTTGATTACGATACTATATCTTATCTCGTCATCGAAGTTGAAAATATCAAAAACGAATAAAGAAAGACCAAAGACTATGTGAAACAGAAAACTCCTGTTTCGTAAAATGGCTTGATTTACACGATATCTGATCTCGTGAATTTGGGAAAAAGCATTTTGGTTAATCAGTAAGCGATACCAATTGTTTGTTACTAGTATTACCTGGCAAAGTTGATTGTTTATGATAACCAATATTATTTTGTTTACTGGTCATTATAAGCAATATTCTTTGATTGTTATAACCCAAAACTAATTGTTTATATTTAGATCTTATTAACCGAGCGGGAGGTCTGTACGGGATAATCTTGACCGAGGTCTGTACCCGACCGAGGTCAAGATTATCCCGTACAGACCGACCAAGCTCGGTTGATAAGAGTTTTATTATTCATTGAAAAGGACAAAATGTTTTCGGCGTAAGATTAATATGCGATCGGACCGGTTAATACCGGAGAATCTAGACCAATCCGCGATGCGATCTATCCAATCAGATTACTCGATTTGCTAGTGTCCAGGCTCTAAGATTCACGGTCATATAATAACCATTATTATCACGGTTGTATCACGGTTGTATCACATTTGATTATTTTTTTCCGGTCAGGTATCCTGAATATCCGTATATTTCGCAAGACCTCGGGCACAGTTTTTCCCTATCCGGACCTCCGGTAAAAAATATATATTTATTTATTTCAACTATTAAAAAAGACTCACGTTCTCACAGTTGTATCAATTTTACCAAGTTTTTTTTCGACCAGGCAGTTATAAAATTGTAGTTCTTTCTGGAAACTGAAAACATTGTGTTGTGCACGTTTTTTTTTTTTTTAATATGACAAAAACTTTTTAATTTCGTTTTTTGTTGGCATCATTTTTCATAATTCTGAAAAAATGATTATCACTTCATTGTGAATTTAGATAGGTGTGAATAGAAGGGTCTAAGGGTCGTTTGCACTCATTAACGACATTTCAGCTTGTTTCGTGAAAAAATTGACCAGTCCCTAAGAGCACATAAAAGAAGCATATCTCTCCACCTGAATCACTCGCTATCAAGTGTTCAACAAGATAGAAGCAAGCCTGAAAAAGCTATCCTTGGAAGAATAACAAGAACAAGTGCAAGCAAGGGTAAGTAGCAGAGACTCGTTAAACTAAGCAATTCTATCCCAGTTGACAAAACTTTAAACCGTAGTTTTTCAGTTTTTCTTTATTATATTCAAATGAAGTTTCAACAAAGCTAATAAAGAAATTGTTTTAGATTCTTTTATCTAGTTACTACTACATAATATAAATAAGCCTCAGCATCATTTCTTTTTAGTCTTATTCACGTTTCACAAAAAAGACAATGGGAAAATAACTTTTCGTTCTGTTGTTCGTGAGTTTTTGTTCCTAATATTGCCCAACTTTCAGGTTAAAGAAAGCTTATTTAAAGGGTTAGTCGATTTAATATTGGGAAGTTGCGTCAGTTCTTGAGCGTAGCGGAACTGATACACGGCGAATACTTCTAAATTTAAACTCTACCCAGGATTTTTCTTTAACATAAAATACCCTCTAAATTATCCTCGTATTGCGGAGAGGAGAGAACCAACAAGCAACTCTACTCACGTTTTATTCACGTACCACACCGAGTCTGGGAATCGAACACGGGTCACAATGGTAAGAGGCAAGCGCTCTCACCSCTACACCTGACCAGGGATTTCTTTAACCAAAAATTACCCTCCAAATACTCCTTGTCTTGCGAGGATAGCACTTAATAGCTTAAGAGAACCGAAGAACCTSGAGAAAAACCCTTKAACACCAACCGTGTTCCAAAGATTAAGGTCATCCCACTATAATCCCTCCCTAAAAATAATCCCATCGAAAACCAGAGACAAATATAAATTCGAGGGCTTCTTTTCATTTCCCTACGCCATCTTGAAAGGAAATCGTGCCCATGTGCATCGAATTGAAAACGGGCGGTGACCTTGCAATTACAACCCAACCAATCAGAAAAGGATTCGTAGTTATTGGTTCTTCAAGTTCAGAGTATTACGGAGAGAGCATCAGTTTTTACATCAGTTGAGCTTCCATCAGCTAACGTTAACCAACACTGACTTATCTCTCAGTCTGCTTACTTTGTAGGCAAAACCTGACTATGTTGATCTACGCTGTTTTTCTCCTCTCGGCCATTGTGACCAGTGCCGAGGTGGCTGAGATGTCCGACGTGTCCGACGCTGTTGGTAAGAACTACCCTAGTGTTGCCCTGTTTTTTTAACGAAGAAGCCTTTTAGCCAAGGTTTTGTCAGAAAACTGAAAATTGACCACATTTTTGTCGTATCTTTTTTGTAGATGATCAAGGTCAGCAAAACTGTTGGGAGACCGGCTGGGTGAAAATTAGCCATCACACTGTCTGTTTCGAACCGAAAGGCAACCGCTACGGATCGTTTGATAACTATATCCGAGGAGGAGTGGTAACGGCCATTAAACTGGAGTACGTGTCGGGAAAGGTGAGCTGTGTCGGGGGAGTTGAGTACAATAGTCGGTGGGGATGCTATAATTATGCTCCCTTAAAAAGTTATCCCCTCAATGTTGTTGTGGCGGACGATAACAACAACGTTTTGTTTCCTAAGCAGGAATATATCAAGTAAGTCATTTTAAAAATAATAGTGGATGGGGAAAAAAGAAAAAGGAAAGTGGGAAGGAAGGAGGAATGTAATGGGACAAAGGGAGGGGGTAAACGAAAGGATAAAAGGAGAGAAAGAGAAAAGAGGTAAAAAAAAAAAGGGAGAAAGCTGGCAATGTACAGACAGACAGAGAGCCAGACATATACAAAACGCTGAGACAAATAGACAGACAACCAGGAAGACAGATAGCCAACCGGATAGACAGATACTACTGACAGACAGACAGTCAGAAAGCTAGATAGACAGTCACATACAAACACTGAGACAGACAAATAGACAGACAAACAGATTTACAGACAGACTGACAGACAGACAACCAGATAGACAGACAGACAGAAAAACAGACTTCATTTATTTATAGGCATTTATTTATAGGCACAACGCTGGTTTATGGTATTGGTCGCCGTTCGTTAACCCCTTGGATTCCGATGAGTTGATCTTTACAGATCACCGCACACCATTTTACTTCCCCTTACATAAAGAAATGAGGATCTGGTACGGGGAAGATCTGAAGACTGGGCCGAAGGCAATAACGCGGGTAGTGTTTGCGTCAATGTGTACGCTAGATTCAAGCTATAGAATGTCTTGCAAGGTGTCAATTTGCGAACTCAATAAAACCATTTAATAAACTGAACAAAACCTTCAGTGAGTTATTAATAGATCGTCATTTTACCGTGTTTATGACTACTGGCCAGATTTCAATAGCGTTTTCCATAGATGACGTCGCACTTGTGCATCATAGCGGAGCTTCCGCCGGCCCGCGCGAGGGGAGCACCATACTTAAGAAAAAATGGTAAACCATTGAGTTGATTTTTCATGGCTTGGCTGACGTCACTTCCGTCCGTCCGTCCGTCCGTCCGTCCGTGTACACAACACAAGAATCCCGCATGATGTCCAAGCAAAACTACTCACAAATGCGGCTCTCAAATGCACAGAAACAAATCGCTTTAGGACAAGTTATAGACCAAAAACAATTTAAAAAAAGCTTTCATGTAGTCAAAGATGGATCAGAAGTGTTCTTCAAGAGTGTTTTTTAGGAAACAATCGCGTTATATATGTATTTTTTTTGACAAGCATTTTTCTCGACGAATCGACAAATCAAAGACTTTCTCTCAAAACTTTTTATATTTCTATAAGATGTATATAACACGGAGAGCATATTACGACAACAACTATTCGTCCTTTATTTAGCTTTGTAAATCTTTAACAATTCAATTCGATTGCTTTTAACCAACTATCGTATGGTTTTCGTTTAAGAAAAATGCAGCTTTGTTTGCCTCCTATCGCGGGCCCCATCGGCAAAACAAAGAAGACTTTCATTCAATAATTTTATATTTTCTACAGATAATTTATTTAATTATTGAATGAAATATATATATACACCAAATATTCAACTGTTTATTAAGCTGTTCGAGCAAGTATAATTAAAAATGAGCTTAAATTTGTGTTGCTGAGAGATGTTATCGTATAAAGACCTAGACTTTCACTTTAAAAAGCTAAA